ATCAGGTGTTTTAGGCAGGCAAAGTAGCACAGCTTTACAGAGTTAAACAACGGCAGCATAAAAGAATGCAGCACACCTTTGCATCATCAAACAAATGTTCCATAGCTTAAATGAATGTAACACATCTTAAATTAGTATTCCACAGCACAAACTATTTCAATCAGTAAATTCAAACTTTGGGGAAATTTCCCCAGATTTTCCTTATTATACTGGAAGTTAGTGCTAGAATAATTCCACTTAAACACACTGCTTGTTAACTATAGTACCCTTTCTGCCTACAAGCCTGAGACAGCCAGAGTCATGAAATATAAAGTCGGGAGCCTCAGTTTCTCTTTCCAGATTCATAGGGTGTGGTTAGTTATCCCAAGTAAACTGCATTCACCCATCTCTGGGACATGGAAATTAATATCAATTACTCCCAAACTCAGATATATGAGGATCATCTGTCCAGACACTTTTTAAAAATACATTTTTCTGAGCCATATCCTTTGGGGAGCCTGGTTCTGTGGGTCACTTGTGTCTCTAAAGGCCAGAATTGGCTAGGAACCTCTAGTCTTCCCCTGAATTATGCAGAGTATAGTGTGGGGATTGCCTAGAGTCGGTTCTTTTTATTTCTGTATTTATTATGGAGTGCATGTGTGCATGCATGTGCATCCTTGTGTTTCCCTGTGTGGAAGGATGAGCATATAGGCCCAGAGCTGACATCAGGAGGCTTCCTTCTTTGCTCTCCTCTTTATTTGAGGCAAGAGCCCTTGTGACACAGTTGGCTACTCTATCAAGCTATTTTGTCCCCATTCTCTGTTTCTGCCTTCTTAGTGCTGGGGTTGCAGGCTGACTGCTGTACCTACCTAGTTTTTATATGGGTCCTAAAGACCCAACTCCAGTGCTCTCACCTGGTCCCTTGAGTCATTTTCCTGGTATTTTTTTTTAATTTTTAAAAATTGCATTTATCTATCTATTCATCCATCCATCCTCTACCTATCTTTCTTAAGAATCTGTGGACATAAGAGGACAACTCCTTCCACTATGCAATTCCTGGGGATCAAACTCAGTTAAGCAGGCTTGGAGGCAGGCACCTTTTTACCCGCTGAGCCACCTCATCAACTCCCTGGCCCTGTTTAACAGCTCTTCGGGTGCTTTGCACGTGCATGGAAAAATGACTATCAGATCACAGAGTGTGTCTTAAAATAGCGATTCTCTAGTCTGTTCCCTTTAAAGTGCTGAGACAAGAGATCCACAAGGAAGGTCCATGGCGTCCGCTGCATCGTAAGCAATGTCAGGTCATTCTTGAGGATACTTTAGAAAGCATGCCTCTTTGGAGGCACCTTAAAGTGGGGTTTACCTGGATTCTGGCATTCAGGGAACAATATATAGATAAAACCAGAATGCAAAAAAAGTCCTTCCTGGGAAACTTTGGGAAAGTGGAATCGTGTTCAGGTTGGAATCGTGTCGGCAGACAGTTATGGTGAAGCTCATGTTATTTAAGTAACGTTTGTGAGGTGGGGGTTTCAGTGGGGAGGAAAGACTGTGGCTACCAGATCAGGGCTCTTCTAAGGGACAACCATGTTTTCTTTTACACACAAAGCAATGCTTGTGGCTTGACAAGTAGCTTAACATGAAGTCTGGGTAACCTTCTGAAAGCCTGGATCAGTAAGGCAAGCAAACCCGACAGCTAAAAGAAACAGTTTACTATATGTGTGAGGAGTGAGAAGGGATCCTATGTTGACATGAAAGGGGCACTCTTGGGTGGGAGAAATGGCTCAGTGCCAAGAGTGTAGAGGACCTGAGTTTGGTTCTCCACACCCATATGGTGGAAGGAGTTGGCCTTTTACTTCCACAGTTTCTTGAGCGAGGTGCTAGATAGATAGGTAGATAGATAGATAGATAGATAGATAGATAGATAGATGATAGATAGGTTGATGCCTTTAACCTCTGCAGGCACCTGCACTCAAATGCATAAACCCATAGGCACAGGCATAACCACATAACCACAAAAACAACAGTAGTTTTATTTTGTTTTACATAATTAAAAACCAAAAAAAAAATGTAAAGGGAATTCTCTCTTTGATGCTGTCATTTTTTTCAGTGATGTTCATCCACGCATCCCTGAGACTTCGAAACCTCAAGAACAAGCTGGAAAATAAAATGGAGGGAATAGGTTTGAAGAAGACGCCAATGGGCATTATCCTGGATGCCTTGGAACAGCAGGAAGAGAGCATCACCAAATTCGCTGACTACATCAGCAAAGCTCGGGAGTAAACCCTCCAGCCTGGTGACGGGGCCGCAGCAGGAATCCAGTTGCACTTTTCCCTTGCTCAGACCCATTTTCTGTCTGTGGTTTTGAAACAGAAGGTGCACGTCTTGCCATCCAACTCTCCACGGCATCATGCATGCACATGCCCACGCCCACCTGTTAAGATCTCCACTATGACCCAAGGAAGGGCCTTGGAAACCACAAAAATACAGACCCACTGTCCCGTTATGTCTGAAGCTTCCAGTGTGTTTTTGAAGGATAATTGCCGGTTGGACAGCAATGGTACTATTCTATTGTAGGGGAACAGCCATTGTAGCATCTGGAGACAATACCGAATAAGTGAAAAGTTAGTCACAGTAGAAGATGCCGTGTGTCCGTCTGTTTCTAATCCTGTCTGACATCCCCTCCAAAATCCCCTATGGCTATGATGTGTTGGGTATGTTAGAATAGCGGTATTATCTTTCTTGTCTTAGAATCGGAGGTGATCTCTATCCCTTTGGCGCCTGTTTGATGTGCGGTGGAAACTGGATCAGCCAGTTGTTTATATTTTGTTTACGAATATGAAGTTAGCTGTTTAGGATAATGTTTTGTTAAATTTTTGTAAACTTTTTAAAAGGGTAGTAATACGCTTTCACCAGAAGGTATTTCTTGCAAACTAAATGTCATCCTCTTGGGGTGGGGGTGGAAAGGTAGTTACAGCTCTGTGACTTCCATTATTCTTGACTTGTTAAAAAAATAAATAAGTAAAACCAAACTTGAGTTGTTTATATGACACGTTTGTTCCTACAGTGAATAAAAGGTGTTCAAGATAATATTTCAATTATTTAGATTTTTGTTGTTGTTGTTTTGAGGGGGAGGGGAAAGTTGGGTGGTTTTCCCAGACAGGATTTCTCTGTGTAGCCTTGGCTGTCCTGGAACTCCCTTTGTAGACCAGGCTGGCCTCGAACTCAGAGATCCGCTTGCCTCTTCCTCCTGAGTGTTGGGATTAAAGACATGCACCACAAGCTCTCAGCTTTTGTCTAGATTTTTTGCACATTTGTTTTTATTAGTTTAATTCGTGTGGGTGAGAGAGAATGCCACGTGCATACAGTGCCCACAGAGGCCAGAAGAAGCCATCGAACCTGGCGCTGGACATACCAGGTGGTTATGAGTTGGCTTCTGGGAACAGAACTGAGGCACTCTGGAAGAGCAGGAAATGCTCTTAACCTCTGAGCCACCTCTCCAGACTCAGATGTTTGGTTTTTAAATAGATGAGCATTTGGAAAGAAAGAAATGAGTGTGTATCTTATTAATTCATTATCTTTTGATCCTGCGAATCTTCCCTAGAGGACCATGGCAAGAGTTTAAACAGCTCCTGTCACTCGTGAAGTTGCAGACAGCAACTGAGGCGGCCATGCACTTGTAGAAATAGACAGAAGAGCTAGAATGGTGTGAGCATATGAATCTCATTGCACCCACCCCATCGTTGCTCATCTGTTGAGGAACAGATAATGAGAAATGGGTGTTTGCCAGTTGAGTGATTTTACAGGTGAAATAGAAAACATTTAGGTTTCCCTCTCATTGAAAAAAGAACTGGTATAGTCTTTCCAAAGAGTCCCTCTGTGTGTTATAAATAATCCGTGACCATTTTGGCCTCTTTGACGTCTTGTGTTTTAGTCTCCGTCAGTCTGAAGCCTTATCTTTAGCTCAGAACTTCAGGGTTTGGAATCTGTGGCATTAACCAGATAAGAAGAATAAACTTTATCAAAAGCATTTTAGTGAAGCTTTAGTCAATCAATGCATGACAATTTATTAAATATCTAAGAAACTTGGTGCCATCCTGGGAAAACTTCTTACAGTAGCTCAGACTCTGTGCATCTCCTAACTATACTGCATTACTAAGAACTGTGGGAACCGGGAAGTGGGGGAAAGATAAGACTTGGAGATGTCTGTAATATTTCTGCGGAGGAGATAGAACCTGCCATATTGTTGGGAAATTGGACAGGACCTTTATGGATGGTGGGATGTCTTGGGTTTTCCTGTAGAAAAGTTAGGACCTATACACGGGGTTTGTAGGAGGATGTTCTATCAAGAGGGAAGAGAGTGGATTGGTCCACTAGGTGACAGAGCATCTTGAAGCAGAGGTTGAGATGTTTAATACTGTAGATATGCTTCCTTTAGAAGGGTACTTCAAGGCACCAGTGGAGTCCACAAGGGAGAACCCTGAGCAGAGTCAGCAGGCTAGGCTAATTAATTTTCACTGATGGTTTAACTGGATTTAGATTTACCTAGGGTACTCACCTCTGGGCATGTCTTTGGGGGACCTTCCAGAGAGGTTGAGCTAAATGTGGATGGCACTATTCATAGCTTGGGGTGCCAGACTGAACACCACAAGAGGAGACTACTGAATACCGCATCTATCTTGGCCTCTCGTGATCAGTGTGACCAGCTGCCTCAGGCTCCTGCCGCCGGGTCTTCCCCTCCATGATGGACTACACCCTCAAACCATGAACCAAGTGAGCCCTTCCTTCCTTGAGTTGCTTTGGTCTCGTATTTGGTTAGAGCAGCAAGACATGCAACAGTACGGTGAGACCTGAGGTTCCACTGGCTCTCCGGAGAACTAGCAAAGGGTCCTTTATTCCGAAGCTGCAGAAGGCCCAGGCATTCACTTCCCTCATGACACTCACGAAGTTTGCAACATGGTTTATTCCCTTTAAGATGCCATGCAGTGTATGACAACAGAGAGGATGGAAGGAGAAGGGTGGGAGTGGGAGTGTAACCAACCATTACAGCACTTCTGTCAGATTTATTGTTTCCCAGAAGAAAGCAATAGTAAAGTGAGAGTTTACCAAAAATGTTAACTTCAGCCTCTAGGAGCATCACTCTGCACTTTTCACCCAACTCAGTCAAATGGGAAGAACTGGAGCGTGTTGCCAGCGAACATAGATACTCTGTGTCCTTCCCCTGGAGTCTTATCAGGACCCAAACAAACCCCTAGCCTGGATGGAACCATGTTTCCAGTTCTGCCTCGTACGCTTAGTGAAACAGCCTCCAGCTCAGATTTTGTTCTTCTAGATGATACTGCGGCTTCTTACGCCAGTTCCTTAGGCAGCTGTACCTGTGGTTTAAGCATTTGAAGAAGAGAAAATGAATCCTGGAAATTTTCAAGTTTTACAGCAAAAATTATAAAACTTATGTGTCTTTGTGGATGTAGAAGATGTTAGAAATGATGGCAGCAAAACTCTCCAAAATCATGGTAAAGGTAAACCAACCAAAGCCATTATTATTGGGCATTAACCGATGCCAAGGCTTGTTCTAAGATCTGTGCTTCAGCCTGTGCTGAAGCAGAACACAGGAAGGACAGGAGCTCAGAGCCTGGTACCAGCATTTCCTAGCTGGTTGCTTGGTACTGAGCACCATTTTCCTCAGCTGTAAAATGACAGGAAGAATTCCCAGTCCATGGTGGAAATGATCAAGTTACATAATGGGGGTGAGTGATAAACGTGGACACTTACTTTCCAAAACATTAGCTCACTGTGTCCTACACCAGCCTTGCAAGAAGGAGAAGGGCCCTGAGGAGACGGTGACTTCCCCGAGGTCACACAGCTCGCACTGCTGAAAAGATAGCTGCGGAGAAAAGCTCTTGCAGAGGACTAGAATTCATTTCCTAGCACCCATGTCAGGCAGCGCACAACCGCCTGTAACTCCCGCTCCAGAAGATCTGATGCCCTCTTTTGCCTCTGCAGGCATGAACACACACAAACATATGCACAACTAATATGTATTCATATAATTAAAAACTCGTGTGTGTGTGTGTGTGTGTGTGTGTGTTCTAGGGGCTGAGGATATAGATTCATTACTAAAGTCCTTGTGTGGCAAACAATTTAGATCTCTACAAACCAAAATCCAAGTATGATGGCACCTACTCATTGTCACAGCATTGGAGAGGTAGGCAATGATCTCAGGGGCTCCCGACCAGTTTACACACACACACACACACACACACACACACACACACACACACACACACACGTCTATCCTTCTTGAAGCACATTTCTACTATAATATACAATAAAATTTTAAAATAAAACATATTTCTCAAGAAACCAAAAAAGTAACACAATAAAAAGTGTATTTTGGTAAACTTCACCAGGAAAAAAAAACTGCAAAAGCCACACATCAGTCCAACTCTAAAAATCTATATCCAGTTTCTGTTGCATAGCAACAGCTTAAAGTTCTTAAAGGGTCTTAAGTGGTCTTCTGTCTTAGCAGGCGACTTGTCCATCATGTGTGCATTTTTCCCAAAGATGCTGATGGCATTAAGAAAACGCTTGGAATCTGTTAACAGCTGAGCATGTTTCCTTTCCCTGCCATGTGCATCTGTCAGTGTGATTAGACCTCGTGGTGTCTGCTGTGTCTCCTCTTGCAGTTAGTTCTTTGTCCACGTTCTCTGGAGAGGAATGTCTCACAGTGCCCTGCCCTCCACAAGGGACACTGGATATCCCCTTCAGGCTAAGGGGAGTCCCCATGTGCCTCTGACCCTCTTCCCATCTGGTATCAGACTTCAAGAGGAAGGGTGTGGCCTGTGTCTGGGTTGGCCCTACCCATGGAAAACAACAATTAAGAGAAATGAGCAAAAAAATAAATACAAGGAATGCTTTAAATAATTTGTAAGCTGCAGCAAAGAGCTTAAATGGTGTGATTTTTGTGTATGCTTGTACACACATGTATTTTAAATAATATTTAAAAATAGCAAAATGTGGGGCTATAGCATGTTACTCAAGCAGAAGAAAAAGTTCTGTTCCTAGCACCCACAGGGTGGCTCATAGCCATCAGGAACTCCAGTCCTGGGGATCTGATGCCCTCTAATGCCCTCTGATGCCCTCTCTTCTGATCTCTGCAGGTAATGGGCACACACAGGGTGCACATACAAACAGGCAGGAAAAACATGCACACATATAAAATAAAAATAAGTAAATCTAAAAAGAAATAAAAGCAAAATGGAGCATTGGGCCACCAGAGGAAACAGACCCGTAATACCACGTTCCAAATAGGACCAAGCTGGCAGCTCAGACTACAGGACAAAGGGTTGAGTCACTGGATAATCATTAACTGCTTGGAAAAGAATAATAAATAATACATCTTGCATCATGCTTATTTTGGAAATTTTAACCCTTTAATTCATCCACTGCATCAAACATTTCGTGAGAAACATGGGCCTATTAAAGTTGCAAGGAAAGACGAAGACATACGAAGTAGCGATTAGAGATGCCAATAGCAAAGCAAGTAGAAACCATCAAGGAAAAGATGGCCAGATTTGATGCCACAAAAGATCAAATTTGAGCTGGGTGTGGCAGCAAACACCTGTAATATCAGGACTTTAAAGATGGAGGAAGTAGGAATATGAGTTCAAGACCAGCCTGGACAACTTAAGATTCTGTCCCAAAACCACAACAACAGCAGCAATGAATTTTAATTAAAGGTTAAAATATCAAAATCACAAGCAGGAGAAAAATCAATCCTGTTATTATTAGGGCTCCTTTCTGCTTAAGTTGTTAGTATAGTTATTTTTAAGTGTATTTGGAACAATTGAGCACATGTAGCTCTATACAGAATAATTGTACGTGTACATACATGTGGGTGTGTGCACACACACAGACCGGAAGATGTGGTAGAATTGTAAGATTTGTTTCTGTGTTAGTTATTAAGATATTTATCTTGAATCCAGTTGGATTCAATCCAACACCTGTGCTTATCCAAATTAGAGAGAAGAAGATATGCACATATGCATTAAGGAACTTGAGAGATGTACTCTGTGTCCAGAAGAACCCTTACCCTGAAGCAGATCGTGATAGATATATAAAAGGATTTACATTAAAAGGTAGTACATGGGATGGGTACTTCTGTTGGCTTGATTTTGTGTCTAGGAACCAGTATTTGATATGAGACTTGGAAACTGAATAGTTTTCACTGGGTAGAAGAAAAGATCATCTGAGGTTATAGTGTCCCATGGATGCTGTAAAGTTGTGGTCCCTGAAATACGTTCCCTCAAATAAGCAGCATCAGCATCACTAGGGAGCTGGTCAGAAGAGGGCATCCCCCGTCTAAAACCTACTAAGCCAGAGACTCCAGAGAAGAACCCAGAAATGTAAATCAAATCTGGAGAAACCACTACATAGATTTTTTTAAAAAACTGTATGCAGACATCTTTTTCCTGTGAATACTGGGGAGGCTTTGGCCCTTGTCCCCTCTGCTGATCTCATTAATTTTTCAAGGAAGTAAAAAGGCTGTCGGAGGTGAGTCAAAGATTTTTGAACAAGCGTGTGTGAGAGGCCAATACACCAAAGGTCACTGTACAAGAAGCAACATGGCAAGGCCTGCACAGAGAAGCCTGGACTGAGAACAGCCTGAGGAAGACATTTAGAAAACCCTTGATTATCCAAAGGGGAGGGACAGTCAGGGGGCTGGCCTTCTGAAACTGACACAGAAGAGAAGGTGGGGGAAGGGAGTTCATAAGAGGACAGATGTGGTGGTAATTTTGTTTGTGATCTAACAAATACAGTTAGCCTGAAGATCAGAGTGTGGAGCTAAGCCAATAGTTAGCCAAAGAGGCCAGGCAGAGGTGGCTCACACCTTTAATCCCAGCACTGGAGAGGCAGAGGCAGATGAATCTCTATGAGTTCAAGGCCACCATAGGCTAACTGAGATTGATCCTCGAGTCTAAAAGAGAAACTGAGCCAGGCGGTGGTGGCTCACACCTTTAATCCCAGTATTTGGGAGTTATACACCTTTAATCCCAGCACTATCAAGGTGGAGACAGAAAGAGATATGGCTGGGCAGAGAGAGGAATATAAGGGGGGAGGAGACAGGAGCTCAGGGCATTCAGTCTGAGGATTCATAGAGACAGGATCACCCTTTTGCTCTCAGGTAGAGGTAAGAATTAGCGACTGGCTGTTCTGCTTCTCTGATCTTTCACTTTTCACTCCTGATAGATGATTCTGGATTATTATTATTGTTATTAAGACCAATTAGAATTCATGTTATAGACAGAAATCAGAGAACCTGGAGAAAAAGAAGATTTTACAGACGAAGCCAAGTGTGGGCGGGGACAGAGACGAATGCTCATATCTGTCATCTTAAACTCTGCAACTGCTCGTGTGAGCCAGGGCTGCATATGATGCCATCTAGCTGGAGGGGAAGCTTGGCAACGCTATTCCGTTGCCGACTCGGCTGGGAACAGTCTAGACGTGCAGGTGAGCCCAGAGTGAAGAGGGAGTGGTACAGTCGCCTTGTTAGCAGAAGAGCTTGGCTTTGCTCTGCAGGTGCTCGGCTCCAGTGAATTAAGGAGTTGCCGAGAATGGGAATCTTATCTCAGTGAAAGGCACTAAGGTTTCTCTGGAATGGTAGGTGGTAAAAGAATCACAAAAATTTTAAGATAGATTGATGCCATAAAGTTGTGGTCACTTTGTGTGCATTTGTGTGTGGGGGGGAGGGGGTTGGGTTGGACTGTCTTTGTGTTGGCATCAGAGTGACTGACAGTTATCAACCTGCAGGGAAGTGAGTTGGTTGTTATCTAAGGAATGCACTTTCATGGCCAAGACATTAAAAATGAGTGCAAACTGAAAACTTCTTCAGAAACAATAAATGTAAATGAAGCAAGGCGGTCGGGAGGCAGCGAGTATGGGAGAAAAACTGGAGAAGCTATTTCTCATCCTCACAGAAGCCACAATGCAGAAGGAGCTGGTTGGAGAGCATTTGTCTAGCATGTGCAAAGTTCTGAGTTCAAGTCAGGCAGTGGTGGTGTACACCTTTAATCCAGGCACTCTGTGAATTCAGGCCAGCCTGGTCTACAGAGCAAGTTACAGGACAGCCAAAGCTACACAGAGAAACCCTGACTCAAAAAACCAAAAAAGAAAAAAAAAATCATTGAGTCCAATTCCCAGTAAAACGCACACACACACACACACACACACACACACACACTCTCTCTCACACATGTGCAAAGACACACACACACCATTTTTGCCATGCACATGCAGGCCTTGAATGGCTGGGTCTAATATTTCAGTGGTGTCAAAAATGTGCATGTTTTCTGTGACATTTAGAACTTACAAAATA